TCGGATCCGACCCCTCCTCCGTTCTTCTTGAATAACTCAAGAACCGCTTACGCTATCAACTTGAAACTTGGCATACCTTCTCCCCCATCAATTTGACGTCTTCTGTGTAATTTTTAAGAACAAAAAAATCAATTTGTTTTTTAGATATATCGATTTTAGTGATAAAACTACATGGCGTTTTTAGTCAAAAAGTGGTAAATGTTTAAAAAATCGCCAAAAATCAGGGTTTAAAGCAAATTGCAAATTAAGGACATGAATAGACGCAGCTCAACGAGTTCTTTAAAATGGCTATCTCGGATTTTCCATAAAATGCGTTTTTCACCCCTAGAAATTCAAAAAACTACATTTTTTGGAAAACAACTAATAAAATCCAAAATTTTGAGAATTTCCAAAAAACCGGAATATATGTTATAGAGCTCTATTAGAACATTAGATGTCCCAAATTTCAACTTTCCATCTTGATTTTTGACCCACAAATTGTAAAAAATAGCTCCAACATGCATAGGGCATGGTGACGTCATAAGCATTTACGTGAATTAGAGGCACTTCTGAACATCGCATGTGAAAACAAATGGCACCACTAGATTCCTGGGACAAAGCTCGTCTAGAAAAGTGCATTTTTATGTCAAAAATAAAAAGTTGAAAAATTGACCTTTTTTCTCAGCCCTCGTTTAGTTATGTATGGTATAAACGATTTTTATGCTTTCAATGCACACTTATCACCAGCAAAGTGAATTGGGGTCACATATAACCATTACCATCGGATTCGGCGTGAAAAATAAGCCATAAAACATGTGTTGCACGCCCATATAGCAGAAAGTGAAAACCGTGACCTTTCGTGGCCTGACCTGACCTTGACCCGTACTTAGTATGACCTCTATACGCACATGGTACCTTCACTAGGCCTTTGAGGTCATTTTTGGTGAGTTTCGAGCAGCAGCTATCGATTCCGCTGTCCGTAAGCCTTATCATGCAAAACCCCAGAATTTGACCTTTGACCTGACCTTGACCCGAAAGTTGACCTCAATCTAAAAATCTTAAGAGTGCTTTGGGAAAGTCTCGTAGAGACCTTTCGAATGCCGCCTCGCGGGGCTCGATGCGACCATTGGTTCTCGAGATAACAGGGGGGGGGTCGGATCCGACCCCCCCCCCCAGGCTGTCGTGGGTACGGAAATAGCCCAGGCGGTGCCGGGTGAAGTTGAGCAGCCAGGCACTGATTTGTACCGGCGCTGCTGAGCTGATCCGCCACAGCACTATACGCTGAGCTGATCCGCCACTGCTGCATTCTGAGCTGAGCTGCTCAGCCGCCGCGCTGAAACGCTAAGCGTTGATCCGCCTTCACGCTGGTTACCGGGCCGTTCGTTGTTCACTGCGAGCCGGGTCGCCAAAAGCGTCATGTGTTCGTCCAGTCCCGTCACAGCCGCCGTGTTTTGTACTATGCCCGGTGCCATGGGTCAGGAAAGACACAGTGAATGGCACGGATGCCGCGCGTGTTCATGACCTCGACACGGGCGTCGGGCAATGTATAGCGCGGACAGGTGGGAGTAACTGACCCTAAGGGTGGAACCAAGGCGTTCAGAGAGAATGTTTTTTAACCCAGGAGAGAAAAAGGCAACCGACTGCAAAATTACTCAATTATTTCTCTAATGAAAATTAGTAGGCTCTTTTGTATTGGAAATACATGCCGCAACTCCCTCGCTAGCAGCCCAGTGAATGTTTCCTCAAAACCGCAACATTTCACCAGCGCACCAAGTGAGCCGTTTCGCGGAAACCTGCCCGCAAATCCTGGCTTTAATGACGGACATCATGTGACGGACATCCAGCCATGTGACGGACATGTGACGGACATTTGACGGACATGTGACGGACATTCATCTCACGCATTACCACAATCCCGTCAGCCCTATGATGGCGATCAAAACTTTATCAGATGCATGCAGCATGAATAGCTGCTAGCATTCCAAGTTAACATTTACAAATGTAATGGATGAGCCAGCAATTCTTAGTTATGAGTTGCAACAATATTTACGCCAAATTAGGCCGTCTGCCACTTGCCAGTCTGGCGCAGGCAGTGCTGCATCCATCTGACATGAAAGAGCATCGGTCGCGAAACGTGTGCAAACGATTGTCAAAAATAAGATTCACGCACAAATACTGTCGACTGCGTCTGCATGGGTGGAGCTTTTCCAGGAAAGTTGGTGGGGCAAAAAGTTGTCAAACCTACAATGTCCGATTGTTAAGTTCGATAAAATACAACGATGAATCAATTCTTTTCATTACAGAGATAATATTTTACATTACACAGACATTTCAAAGCACCTCAATGCGAAAAACATTGGTTTGCTAAGCAGTAAAGTCCTACAAATCGGCTTAAGTTGGTGGGGCAAAACTCTTATTGGTGGGGCAAAATGGCAAGTTGGTGGGACGGCCGCCCCACCAAGTGAATAGGAAGCTCCACCCCTGGTCGACTGTCGCATGAACGGAGTGCAGCTCATGCTCGGTCAACTACGTCCTACTCACGGAAACGTTAACTGACAGCGCCTTGGTGCGCTTTGCCCTTCCCATTCTAACAAACCTAAAGATGTAGAGAAACCACTCGACTACACTAATTTCCAGGAACATTATCAGCACATCTACCTGCTGTTTATGGCCAATTGGATGGATTCCGCGGCGTCATCACCCCCAATTGCGTCCCAAACTGCGTCGCAGTTTCTGCGCGACCTGCTCCTGAGCCAGCGCCGCGGGCTGACCGCGATGACTCACCGCATCCCACGGCCATGTGCCTGCCCGACGTCCAGCAATGCTAATTACATCCACCCGGCCGGCGTCTGTACGAGCCCCATAACTACCGAGGCGCCGATAGTCAGGCTCGCCCCTATCAGCATATGCACCCGGCTCGCTGCGCCTGCCGCGCCGCGGGCTGCAGGCAGGGCCCTGTCTGGCAGGTCGGGCGGGCGCCGCTCCACCCCGCCCCTGCGCCGGGGTGCACTGACATCCGCTGCCATGGCTGGCCGCCCCGCACCTGAGAGGTAGTTCCGCACTGCCAGCCGCCCTTGAACTCAGTCACACAGGCCTGGGAGCGCGCAGTGACCGAGGTCAGGGGTCAGATCGGACGGTCGCGGGGTCAGGGGTCACTGTCGGGGTGTCGTGGATGTCAGGAGTCCCGTGTTATGAACAGCGGAGGCCGGTGGTTTGTCCGACGCAGCGCGCCGCGGCCGCCGTACGACCGGTGCTCCTACAACGGTTCGGTGGCGCGCCGGCCGGCCGGCCGGTCGTCGCAGTTACCGAGCGCTGACGTCACATGGCGAAAGGAGCCCGGCCGGCGGGCCTGTCCGGTCGGCTCAGCGGCGGTGCTCCGCGGCTGGGAATCCAAACTCGGGAATAGTGTGGTGGGAGACCGAGGGAGGCAGTGATCACCTACCAACGCTACGTTGGACGACAGTTGCCTAATACCAATCTGAGGCGTGACGGGTAGGCACCTGTGCCGAAACAACGGCGCTGCGGCCGGATGCCACCTGTTTCGAGCATGTTCCGGAACAGATGGGTACCGGCTCTGCCGCTATTACAACACGGGTCATCGTCCGCCTTTCCGACATCTCCTGGATATTTTCACCCAGCGCGCCTAGCCGTCGATCCAGCGTTTAGGGGAAGCCGGGGGAAGCCCGGGCGTGGGGGAAGCCCGGCCATCCCGTTTCCGGCTAAATTATTCACAATAAAATGCTCAACTGTTTGTCCTTTCAGCGTGGCAGCTAAGGTAACGCCAGCAAAAAGTTAAGGTTGACAAAAATTGCCTATTGTTAAAGTTATAGCGCAAAAATGATATTTTAAGGGTTTTTAGCTAAAAAGTGAGATATCTTGCACTGTTAATGTTATACCATACAGTACTAATATTTATACGAATGTTATGTAAGGACCGTTTAAGTGTTTGTAGTGAGGGGTGACGAGGCAGGCTGGCTTAAGTATGACATTTTTTCGAATATCGCTGTTCTAAAATAAAAATTAGCACATTGGGGTAACCCCGGGCGAGTGGCCAAGCTTACCCCCAACCGAGAGCAATGCCACTAAACCACTGTTTTCCGTGAGATAATAGGTACTGAGCAGGTTTGGTTTACATATAGATCAAAGATAAATTTCGAAAATAAACATGTTATCATAGACAAAGCCAGTCATGTCACTTAAGGTCACCTAGGGTCAAACTACGTTTTTGCAGATAACGCGACAGACAATGAAGCTAGAGCTTCAAAAATGGTGTCGTTGTGTTCTTCTTCATCAGCCGAGTCGAATGATATGCAATATGATGCATTAAGGTAAAAAGAAAAATAAATTTTAAGGAATTTTGAAATACACCTTTTTTATCAATTTTGCATCACGATTTTCATCGACCTGTACTGTATATGTAGTAGACGCTAGCTAAAATACCAGTAGTGACATAAACTCTAAGATGTCCAGAGCTAATCAGTACCTTAATAAATAATATTTCACTTCCCGTTAATATTTGGAAAGCAGATAATGGTTTCATCAACTCGTTGTAAAGCGCTGGGGAGGTGGCCGGCGTTACCCCTATGCCGGGCTTACCCCAGAAAAATCAACACTTTCTTAAAACTCGATTTTCTCAACCTTACACTTATTCCACGAAACCGAATTTTTGGGAAAACACGGCCAATGAACTTAGCTAGCTAGCAGGATGTCAAAATTTTATACAGCACGTATGGTATGTAATAAAAATGAAAAAGAGCTTACTATGCCGGGCTTCCCCCGGCTTCCCCTACATAATGCGTCCGTCGTCTCATGTCACACGAGTCAAAAACTCAGCGTGTCCAAACGTGATCCTCTGAGTCGTGGTTCCATGGCGGCCACACCACAGTGCAGGAGGAATAACGCGAGTTCGGCCGACTGGACATGGCCCTTTCCCTGAACTCTCGGCTGGCGACCGCGGCTCAGGAAAATCCTGTCCACCCGGCCAATGGAAGGTTACCCGCCAACAGCACAGTTGTACTCACCAAGTATCGCCTGTAGGGCGGAATCATCGCCCAGAAAATCCATATCCATGGTGGGGTGCTCCAAATCAATCCATGATTCGCATATTCGCCAAAACTGTCACTTTCGCGATCTCACGGTGTAAGCACTTCTCTCCCTCCACAGCACAGCCCCCTCTCACCACGGCGACTGTTCGCTCACGACTGACGTCAGTTCGCCGAGTGGTTACAAGGTTATCCGGTAGATGGCAGCAGCGCGCGGCCCGACGACGGACCGCGGGTTGCGGCCGATGCTTACTTTCTATGAAATGAATTGTCGTCAAATCACAAGTCGTGTGGCGACAGGAATACGGTGATGGTATGACGATTGACATGTGTATTTGTAGGGGCCGAACTACCTCCGATATGCTGCAGGCTGCAACAAGGAGGGGGGGGGGGGTCGAGCGGACCTAGACGGATGCAGAAAAGCGTAGGTGGGTACAGGTAGGTGGTACTCGAATGTTGCGGGGTCATATCACCAAAAAAAATTCACCATTTTCCAAAAAAAGCTTGGATTTCGGTTTATTACACATCGCTTTGGAGTTTAGCCCGCGCCCTGCTGGGGGGGGGGGTGTTTGAACACCCCCCCCCCTTGTGGTTTTTCGCGAATATCTCAAAAACGGCGGCGCGGAGCGCCGCCGTTTTTGGTACACCTTATCATACATCAATTCTACACATGTTGTGAAAATTTCAGACCAAGGTCATTCAAGGTCAGGTCACCAGGTCACTTGAAGTGACCTCACCTCATAAAAAGTTTAAATGTCTGTCATAGCTACACCGAGTGACCGATCGCTTTGAAACTTTCAACGATTGATAAGGGTAACAGTATCTATAAAATGTATATCTCGGAATTTTGATATCGGTGACCTAAGGTCAGGTCAATTTTGCGACCTCCCCATTATAAGTCAATGGGAGAAAATTGAAATGCTCCTCTTTTGGACGAAAGACATTATAAACACTCCCAAACACCGAATTACAAGTGGTTTAGACACACAGAACATGAAAATGGTGTCCGTGACCCTTGTTTATGCCCTGAGGTCATCTTAGGTCACGAATGGTATCTAACAGTTTTTCGCAAATAACTTTTGATAGAGGCATGCTAGAGCAATGAAAACGCCTTAGATGTGTTCAGCTCGACGATACGGATCGACTGATATGCAACATGACCCTTTCCGGTCAGGTCATGACCTTGACCTGAGGTCAAATTTTCAAGTTGACCTTTCAAGGTCAAGTTATAGTTCATTCGATGCGTCTTGACGAGAGAAACACGATGCCGGTAAAAGAAAGCTCGTACAAGGCTTGGGTCAAAAGTTATTGCAGAAAAACTGTTTCCGAAAAAATCGGCTATTTTTGCAGTTTTTGCCCCCTGCAGGCAAAACCGTTGACGTTAGGTCAAATCTGAGCGAATTACTCAGAAAGGGCGTTAATAGGGCTATCGAATGCGCTTTTCCGCAGCGCTATAGCTCTATTGGTTCCCGAGTTATGCGTTGGCTTCTTGGAAATTTTCGACATTCGACCTGGAAATCGGCGAAATTTTGCCTTCAATGACCTCTGGTGACCTGACCTTTGACCTGAGCAAAAAATTGACCGAAGTGATTTCGTCATTATTTTTGATGCTCTTTCGAACGCCGCCTTCCGCGTATCGCTACGTAGCCCAGGAGCCGAGTTACTAGGGGGGGGGGTGTTCAAACACCCCCCCCCCCAGCAGGGCGTGGAAATCCAGGACCCCCAGCCGGGCGCGGGTTAACCCTCGCATGTGTGCGGCGTTTGCCAGCTTCTGTGCCTAGGGGGGGGGGTCGGTTGGACCCCCCCCCCCTTGCCGTTTGGCCCCTGATTGAGCTATAGAGCTTCGCGGAAAAAACGAGCGTGTTGCCCGTGACGAGAGGAAGCCGATGATACCCAATTTTAAGTTCCTAGGTCATTGGGTGACCTTCCAGGTCAGGTCAATGACCCAAAGGTCGGAAAAATCGGGACCTAGGCTATTAGAAAGTCGTAAAGTGTGGCTTCTATGAGGTTTTCGGGGTGCTGATCACGAATATCGTGTTAGTTTTTATCACAGATGATGTCTAAGCATTAAGACCAGGTCAGATCAGGTCAGGTCAGGTCAACCAGTAGGGATCGTGACGGTATTCGTAGTGCGTGTCAACCGCCTCTGGCAGCTTCGTAACATGTTACGAAGGCACCAAAACTACTCCACAAATGTTCAAATAGTTGCTAAATTCGAATTCAGCTCCAAAAACTAGCCTAGAAACATGTAAAGCTCGAAAAATGAACCGAGGTTACCAAAGGTCAGTGACCTGACCTGACCTTCAGGTGACCTTGACATCCACCCAAATGCATGGGAGCAACATCAAATCACATGTTTGAACGTTTGAAACCACGAGAAGCTTGCAAACGCGCGGCTAATGTGAGCCGACTTACGCGGAATCGCGATTCCTGCCAAACATGGGTTCGAGAAATAGGTCAATGGTCAAAGGTCACTTGGGTCAGGGTCATGAAATTTTTAGAGTAGGTGTAAAATTGATCAACTCGAGGGTACTGAAAGTTTCGTCGTGATCGTCCGCTTTTTACGCGAGTTATTCGCGAAAAACCATGGGGGGGTCCATCCGACCCCCCCCCCCCCCACACCTACACATGCGAGGGTTAAAGCAAGTTTGTCATCATAAAAAGTGTTAGATTTTTATTTACCTATTCTAGAAAAACGATAAATTTTCATCTATTTCGTTCGCTGCGAGGAAACATTCACCTCGAATGCCCCCCCCCCCCCACACCCACCCCTGCTCTCAAGTTAAGCAATTTTAGTTTTTACAACTCCCGTAAAAATGATCCTGCCCCTATTGACGTTTGACCTGTGACCTCTTTCTCAAGACCGTTTCAGGCCAGAGCGGCTATTCAACACATGTCAGCGCATATCATTTGTGTGGTCATGGTTGACGTGACCAGACCTGCCTGACCCCACCTAACTCAAATGCATGATTTATCATGTTTGAAAAAAAAAATGCAATATTCGATAAATGTGATGATATTCGATAGCTGCTCTAGCAGCCAGCAGGACCCGATTTTTTCATATTTGGGTTATTGACCTGACCTGGGAGGTCTTTAAAACTTGAAACTTCAGCTCGTGCTGTGCTGGTGGTGTGAGTTTTCAATGTCGTGCTGGGGGAGGGGGCGCTTTCACGCCCCTCCCCCGTCTAACTCAGCTCCTGGACCCCGTAGCGACACGCGGCAAGCGGCATTCGAAAGAAGAGCGTCAAAAATCACGACGAAAATACTTCATTCATTTTTTAAGTCAGGTCAAAGGTCAGGTCACCAGAGGTCATCAAAGGAAAAGCATTGCCTTTTTCATTGTTTTTCGACAAACCGGCGCATAACCCGGGAACCAATAGAGCTACACCGCTACAGATCAGCGCATTTAATAGCTATTTTAACCCGGCGGCCGCTGGGCCTCCGCACCACCCGCCGGCCGCTGGGGGGGGGGGCATAGTTGCCCCCCTTTACTTCTGCGACGATATCGTCGCAACGCGAAGAGATAGAGAAACGAAACTTTGCACACACTTTTCTGAATACCTAGCCGAGGTTGTATCTAAATTTGGTGTCGATCTCATTTGAAATGACGTCACAGTGACGTCATAAGTCAAATTATAGATTTGCGACTCGCAGTTTCCTCATGATATATCATATACATGGGACCGAATATAAAGGGCCGATTATTGGTCAGGAACTAGATGGAAGTGCACTTAGATATTTTAGGATGACAGCAGGTGCTGTCTAACTAGTTCATTTACAGTTGAGTTTCATGCTCAGCGACATCAGATACGGTCCATATCGGAAAACGACAAAACTTTATGACGTCACTGTGACGTCATCTTAAGTGCTACAACCACCAAACTTTCCACGAATATTGCGTAGGTATTCACTTGAAGCTATGCCAAGTTTCACGTTCGTAGCTCATCAGGTTTCGGAGATATTCTACAAAATGTAAAGGGGGGCAACTTTATGCTCCCCCCCAGCGGCTCGTGGGTTAACCCTTTTTAGTGTGCATGTCCTCAGAATTGACTTTGGTTCATTGGTCAAGCCTTCAGAGGGAAAAATCCTAAATTAGCCTTTCTTACGAAAAATGTTTTTGGTAGCTAATAACTTCCACTGAAGAAAGGCGCGACATCGAATCTGCCAGCATCGTGCTCCTCTCGTCGGGACGCGTCGAATTAACTGTAACTTGACCTGGAAGGGTCATTTTAAAAATTTGACCTTGAAGTGTCCTTTTAAAAATTTGACCTCTGGTCAAGATCATTACCTGACCGGGAAGAGTCATGTTGCAGATGAGTGAATCTGTATCGTCGACCTGAACAGTGAACTCATTTAAAGGGACCCTCCCACCTTCAAAAATGTTAATGAATTGGCATGAAAGTGATGTCGCTCGGTTCAGAAAGAGCAAAAACGAATATCTACCAAATTTCATCGAAAAATATTCACCGGTTTTCAAGATATTAGACTTTTACTTTTGTTTACTTTTTGGGATCTCCGCTGTTCCTAGCGACTTTATTTGAAAGTGCGGCATTTGTTGCGCGCAAAGCAGCATATACCACCGCGTGCTACAAAACGTTTTAGTCAAACATTTAAAAATCGTTAGATATCCACGATGACGTCACACATTCAGAGGGGTATTCCTATGCATTAGCCCCTCTGAATCAAAATGCTGCAATTTTGAAATTCAATATTTCCGATTTAAGACATTTCTCGATGTTGTGAGTGCCGAAACCGGTAATTGTGAGCCAGGGACCCCATTTTGGCTATCTCAACTCAAATCTAATGTTAAGGTGGGAGGGTCCCTTTAAGCTGTTTTCATTGCTTTAGCATGTATCTATCAAAATTTATTGTAAAAAAGAACTCCTGGGGACCTTTCATGACCTGAGATGACCTCAGGGGTCATATGGGTGGCAATTTTCTGATTCAGTTTGTCATGTTTGTTACCCGATGTTTGAGTGTTTGGTTTGACTATCGTCCTACAGAGGCGCTTTTCAATTTTCTTCCATTGAATGTACTGAACGCGATCGTTCAGTCGATATTGCTATGGCGAGCATTTTGACTTTTTCTGAGATGAGATCACTTGAAGACTGAAGTGATCTGGTGACCTGAGCTTGCAGTACCCGGGTCTGAAACTTTCATA